GATCTTCGGATACCATTAAAGAGTGTGTATGGATTGGGATTTATGATCTAAGCCTTAAAGGAAATATCTATTTCAAACTCATAGATAGATGATTTAAAAGTCACATGCTCTTGAAATGTGATTTCTTTTTATAATCTTTAGAAGCTCAGCAACTCAAGTTAGACATCCTGAGGGCAACACGTGTTGGGGGCCCCGGGGGTGGCGTGGGCCGGGAATGTGTTTGTTGAAATTGTCCAGGAGCAAAGCTCGACTCACTTGAAACCCAGGGATTTGTCATCCAAATATGTGCAGATTGCTGACGCTATAAATAGTTTGAACTCAAGTAAACAGCCTCTTCCCCTAGCTGCTGTTTGGCTATTATTCACATGCCAGAACAGGCTGGGAACAGAGTCGGCATCTTGGTGCTTTGCACCCAAATCCTGCCAGTCTGCTGGTGGAGATACCAGCTTCTGCGAACCTTAAGTGACTGGATCAGGTGTTTGCCCATTTACCTGCACTTATAGGGCTTCGCTCTGGCCCTCTTGTTGTGGGACTCTGTCACCTTACCACTGATCTAGACCAGCCCTAGCCAAGATTATTGCATGAATTAAAAGCCCTGGGCCACGTGGCTGGACTAAAGCAGATTTAGGAGGCACAGGCAGTGTCTTTCAGAGCAGAGGCATTCATGGCTGTTTCTTTTGGAACCAACAAGAGTGACACCAGTTATCAGAAGAGCTCTGAGCTGTCTGTACCAACAGCTGGTATCTCCTGCCTTTTAATCTTATTTTATATAGTCTCGTATAGTATACGTTGGGCCCAAACTCACCATGTAGCTTAAAGACTAACTTAAATTTCTGATCCTCCCACCTCCACCATGAAGCTTGAATTGCAGCTATGTTCTATCATGGCCTGTTTGTTAATTTATGGTGCCTGGATCATAGCAGCTAGGCCATTAAGCTACCTCACACCAAATAACCCTACAAACAACAACAGCAACAAGAAAACCCAGTTTTTTTTATGTTTAGTATCACACATACAATAATTAACGGCCCTTATTATCAACAAAGATCTCTATTTGGCTTTCATATTCCCTTTTCTAGTCAGAGCTAACCAAGACCGTATATTTCTATATTACTGTTCAATAAAAACTTTTCACTGTATAACAGGTAGTCCTTGAACTCAGCATCCTTCTGCCTTACCTTCCCAAGGGTGGGGTTTCAGACCCCGTCAAGAGTGGCTGTCAGCCATATTCTCTACTCTCTTCTTGAGCTTGAAGACTATTTTTCTCCATCTCTTGAAACTTTCAGAATTTTTAGGATACTTTCCTATCTTCTCCTTTTTTATGTTTTCTTTTCTGGGATTCATAATTATTAACATGTTAAACTTCCAGGATTGTTCTAAAATCAAGATCCCTTTCGCCTTGTGTCTCCCTCTCCATTGTCCTTCCCTCCCCATCTCCCCCTCCCCCTCCCTCTCCCCTCCTCCTCTTCCTCCTCCTCCCCCTCTTCCTCCCTTCCTCCCCTCTCCCCCTCTCCCCTCCTCCGTGTGTGTGTGTGTGTGTGTGTGTGTGTGTGTGTGTGTTTTTCCAGCCAGAGCTGTTTGAGGCACTTGGAATGTATATATCAGAGATGTTTTGGCCTTTCCACTATGTTAGGCTAACACAGCAGGTTCCTGCTAAGAGGAATGAGCTAAGAGGGTGGAGCTAATGTGGCTCCAAACAAGGCCTCCTCAAGAAAGTGACATCTAATGTGGAATCTGATTAATCAGAACCAGAGGGTGGGGCAATCAGAGTGGCAGTGGCAAGTAAGACTCAAGGTAGTCAAACTGTCTCCTGCTAAACTTGTAGGTTGTGCAGCCTCGGGAAAACCTTTTCCCTTCTGGGAGGACACTACCAGATGGCTTAGTAAAGTGCTTGCTTTCCAACTGTGAAGACCTGGGTTCAAATTCCCAGAAGTCATGTAAAAAAGCCAGGGGTGGTGGCATGTGTCCTACTAGCCACCTGCTAGTGAGAAGATTGATTCCTGGAAAGTCAAGGGCTAGCATGGCCTATGTGTTAGAGTTCAAGCAAATATACTGAAGGTGTCTTTGGGACTCTTGTGGGATTGACTGTGCTGCTTCCATATGATTCCAAACCTGATTTTGAGATCTGTACACTGTACACTAGGAGGCTCTCTGGTTATGTCTGGATGCTAGGCTGACAAATAGTCTTCTTCCCCTTTTTCCCTGTTCTATAGATTACCATTCTTTTTTTTTTTTTTTTACATCAGCAGTTGTTATAATTGGAACGATAATGGCAAGAAGCTCTCCTTACAGTTGCAAATCTCAGTATGTTTCTCTGTTGTCTAGAAAAAGCTTAGCCTTTGTAGCTTTGTGTCACAAAGAACAAGTAAGCTGTAAATTACATCTGCAGCCTGCCTTTGACAGGGCACAGACTGTACAAGGTGCACTTTTTCTTTTTTTAAATAAACATGCACAACTGGGTGTAGTTGAGCATGCCTTTAATCCCAGCACTGTCAGGCTGATCACTGAATTTAAGGCCACTTGGTCTCCGCAGTGAGTTCAAGGACAGCCAGAGCTAGTGAGACTCTGTTTCAAGACAAACAAACAAAACAGCATACAGTTTATAGCAGCTCTGTACATCACGAAAGTGAATAGTGATAGTCAGCATCTATTCATGCATACATTCCTGTTAAAAGATAGCTGTGTGGCCAGCTGTGGTGGCACATGCTTGAAATCACAACATTTGGGAGCCTGAGGCAGGAGAATTGCCACAAGTTTCAGGCTAGTCTGGGCTGCAGAGTGAGACCCAGTCTAACAACATTAAGAGAAACAACAGCACCACCCCCACATATACATCTAGACAGACAGACAGATACTCTTCAAGTACCAAACAAACAAAAAAGAAATACCAGTGTATTGCTAACTGAACAGATGGCCCAGTTGGCCTGTGTGAGTGGAAGGAACAGTCCTGCTGCCTCCTCACAGCTCTGTGGGAATTGGTGAGCTGATGCGTACAGACACATAGACTGTCACCTGCATATGATAAACATCCAGCAAAGGTTTCTGTTTATGGCTTTTTTTATGCTACTAGGTGTCTCATAATCCATGCAAAATATTACTCAGAAACAGATCTTCTCCTTAAGACTCTAGCAAAGGAGTAGTACTCATCTGAAAATAAAGGCAGCTCAGAGGAGAACAGGCCAAGGTAGCACTGGGGATGTTGAGAGGGCAGGCCAAGCCCTTGCCGGCCAGGGAGGGCAGGGTCAAGGACAGCTTCATGGTGAAGGGCTGTGTGAGCCCCTCAGTTCTATACCCGCTTTCCTCCCCTCCATCCAGCATGGGGCTGATACTGCTGTATGCAGAGAGGCCTTCCCAGGCAATGGCATGAGGTGTGAGTGCATCAGGGCTGTATCTGCCCGGCCCTGGAGATCCCTGGGACAGAGCACAGTTTGTGCTGCTTCCTTCCTGGGCTTTTGAGAAGCTCATTGCTCCCCCACTGCCATGCCTGTTCTACATGAGAACCCATGAGAACCCCTGTCTGACCATCTGATCTACATTCGGATTACATGAAATGACATGTGTATAGGGCTTGGCTGTGGTATCCTGGTTTACATGTGTCTCTACTGTTGTCAGTTGTGAGACAGCATGAGTGTGCCATGCCTGTAGGTTGGAGGTGTTAGCATTCTCTCTTCATGCTTTCTGCCACAGATCTACAAGGCAAGTGTCAGGGGCAACATGCTGAAGAAACTGATGTTTTGTGAATGAGTTCCTATTGTTTTTGTTCCAAGCTAGAGGGTGGTGTCAGTAAAGTGAACTTTCTTAAGAAAGTTATTCAAGCTTATTTCCTGATGCCCCCTGTGCTTGTGGGATAAAGGCACAGCTAAACAATGGGCCAGTCTCCAGCCCCTCCAGGCAGAGTTCCCTCAGCCCTCACAGCAGCTCTCAGAGGGCCTTTGTGCAGGACTCATCCTGACATTCTGGAGAAGTCCAGTGCTTTTCTTCCAGTTCCTCTTACTCAGTGTTGTCACCTTGTCACATCACTGCCTTTCCTGAATCATCACCAGGGGAGAGAATCATGAAACAGTCACAATTAGGAAATCTTTACTATTAAGACATGGGCTTTTTTGTTGTTGTTGGTTGGTTGGTTTTTGTTGTTTTGGCAAATATTTTTGTATTTATAGTATGTGTCAGTCACTTAATCCTCTCAAGAACCTAGAAGGGTCTGGGGAGGTGCCTCAGTCAGTACAGTGCCTGCCATGCACCCACAGAGAACTGAGGTATGGCTGCATACATCTGTTACCCTAGACAGGAGGAGGAGCCCTGGAGCTTCTTGGCCTGCCAACCTAGGCAAATCAGTGAGCTCCAGGTTCAGTAAGAGACCCTACCTCAAAAAATAATGTGGAGGGGCTAAAGAAATTGCTCAGTGGTCAGAGCACTTGCTGCTCTTACAGAGAACCCTCACTGTGGCTCACAACCAGCCAGAAACTCCAGTTCCAGGGATTGTGTCCTCGTCTGACCTACCCATGTAGGCAGCAGACACACACATAGAACACATATATGTATGTAGGCAAAGTACTCATATACATGAAATCAAATAAATAAATCTAAAAAGAAATAAGGTGTATGCACATATGTACACACGCCTACACAAACATGTGTTCACATAGAGCATACACAAAGAACTACTGGGGGAAGTTATGACCACATCCTCCATAGAACAGCCAAGGCACAGAGGGATTGCCCTAGGTCACCCACAGTAGGAGGAAGGCAGGGCCGTCCGGACCTCACACCTCTTGTGCTCTCCTCCCCCGTGCTCTCCCAAGCTGGTGATTTTTATTCCACCACAGTTCACCAACTTGTCCAAAGCCTTCTGGTTGGCTAATACCTTCCCAGGAAGAGCCTGTTTGCTTGAGTCCTGATAAACATCAGAGTTTTCTGAGAACTAAATAAAATTCCTGTTAAGTTACAAAGGGCCACAGCCTCCCCCATCTACATAAAGAGCTGTGATCGGCAGAGTCCAGCCCTGACTTCCCGTCGACATGCAAGTAGCTTGTACACAGGTCTGCTCTGCCCCTTTGCAAAGGGCAGTTAAAAACCACCTGGTACTTTGGTCACAGAGCCAGTAAGCCCACACTCTGACCTGGTAAGTGCTTCTGTTATCAGCTGGGTGGGATGTGTTTTAAGAACAGCATTGGCACATGTGTAATCTTCATTCTGATTTAGGAGTTAAGAGCCTCAGTTTCTAGTTCTGGCCCTTTTGTAACTTTAAGCTAATCACATAACGTCTGTTTCATTTTCTTTCTTTCTTTCTTTCTTTCTTTCTTTCTTTCTTTCTTTCTTTCTTTCTTCCTTCCTTTCTTTCTTTCTCTTCCTTCCTTCCTTCCTTCCTTCCTTCCTTCCTTCCTTCCTTCCTTTCGTTTTGTTTTGTTTTGTTTTTCTTGACAGGGTTTCTCTGTATAGCCTGGGCTGTCCTGGAACTCACTCTGTAGACCAGGCTGGCCTCAAACTCAGAAATCCGCCTGCCTCTGCCTCCCAAGTGCTGGGACTAAAGGCGTGCGCCACCACCGCCCAGCTTCATTTTCTTAGTGAGGAAAAAGAGTAATAATTCTCCTAGGGGTTTTGTGAGAATCAAAATAGATGATGTACCACAATGAGAACTAGCATCTGTCCATGAGCTAGCACTCTAGGTCTGCACTGACCGCTGTCTCCGTCTCTTGTGTCACGTCACCATAATCCTAAAATGAAACCACTAGCATCTCATTTAAGTTGGGAAAACTGAGATATGGAGACTAGGGTCTGGGAGTGGGGGAGGGGGTGTCATGTTGGGTCCAGATTCTGCCTCTGACTCTTCATGGTGCTCACACAGTCCCTGCCTAGGTCTCTTTGCTTCTCACAGGCAAGAGCGAAAGGTTTGTCACATCTTCCTTGGTGGAGCACACTGCACATGCATCATTCTTGTTATCTAGCCTAGCTGTTGCCGGGTTTGTCCCTAAGGACAGTTAAATTCTCCTACTGTTTATCTTATCTAGTAGTTTTTGTTGTTGTGTTTCATGCCCTCTGGGACTCCTTCACTGAATTCTTTTGGGTTTTCTCACAGAGAAATGTTTTAGTTCCACTATAAAGGGGTCCCCAGGAGCCCACAAGGCCAGGCATCTTAGGCCAGGGTTTCTTCCTGCTCAGGCATGTGGCTGTTAGCCTGGAGTAAAACGCTCCAAGATGGATTTGATAATAAGCCTGCACACACTGGCTTCCAGTGGGATTTCAGACAGGAAAGACACCCATGTTACTATTTTACTGATGAAACCAAAGACCAGTGACTTGCTTGAGGCAGGGCCAAGACCTGAAGCCAGTTCTGCAGGCAACAGACCAGTGTTGTGTCCCAGTCTTTCCTGTGTGTATTCATAAGAACATAAGGACACATATATACTGTGCCCAGCACACTCCTAGGAAGCTAGAGAAATGAAACACTTTGGAGGACTGGGCAGAGGGGCAGAGATGGGGACACACAGAGACGGCTTCTGCCTAGTTAGTGCATTATACCCCGAAGAAATGAATGGGAGCACAGCAGCATGCAGGCAGCCACAGTCGCCCCAGTGACTAAGAAGCTGAGAGATTTACGTGGGGAGTTCTGGCCACTGACTGACCACATAGGAAGCCTTTTGTCACCGAGGCCATAGCATTGAAAATTGAAGGAAGGATGTTTGACAAATGTGACGGGCCTGGGATGTAGTTACAGCCCTCTGGCTCATTGTCCAAAGGAAATGGATCTCCTGTGGACAGAGAGGTGGAAACTGAGCAAGTGGGTTGAGTGGTTGACATCATCAGGCTGGGAATTGGATTACAACAAATGGAGACTTACTTGGCCAGAGACTGGGAAACACCCACTAAAACCTCGAAGTGCTTTTCATTTAGGAGACACGGGGAGAGAGAAAGGGCAGGAGTGAGCTGTCTGCCCCCGCATGCGTTTCTGAGCCCCAGCTTCTTTCTTGTTCTACCTTCCCTTCTGACCCAGGACCTCTGCCCTTGGAGAGAGAGACTTGGCTCCTGTGAGTACAGCTACACTGCCTTGCCTTCCCTCACCCCAGCCTGCTCATAAAGGGTCTGTTTCTATCTCACACTCGCGGACTGTTGCCTTCAACATTACAGCCTTTCTTTCCTGCAGCTGTCCAAGGCTGCGGGGGTGAGCCTCATTCTCACAGGCAGGCTCCATCTCCCCTGGAGACTTTCTCCACATAGCTTCAGTCGTCTCTATAGCCTTCAGAGCACTGCCTTGCCCACATACAGCCTAAAAAGCCAAGTCTAACCTTAGCAATTGCTGTCTGTAAAATTTTAATAGTTTTCTGATTACAAAGGTTTTTTAAAATTCTGATTTAAAAAGTTTTGCAAATTCTAGAAAGACTTGTCTCAAATATATAAAATTGGTATATTAAAACTCCTAATCTCCTTCCTCCACCTCTCAAGTGCTAGTAATATATTAAATGCGTAGGTTGTGAAGTTATCTCCCATCTATTGTAGCAAATGTGTGGAGAACTCTAGGCTCTGAAGGAGTGGTCGTTAGCCTGGGCTCTGTGGTCTTTTCCTTGCTTCCTTTTAAAACTTTGTTATTTGTGTGTGTCTAGAAAGTAAACATACTTGTAAGCCTTGCTTTCTCCTGGATCCTGTTTTTAGGACTTTGAATAGGCCAGACACTCTGTGCTGGGGCTGGGGGTGAGGGGCTTGTTCCCTCTGGGAAATCTGCCTGCCTCTGCCTCCCAAGTGCTGGGATTAAAGGTGTGCACCACCACTGCCCAGCTAAATATACTTAATATATTTTAAATGATGTATTTATTATATAGTTTATGTGTATGTTTTCCCTGCATGTATGTGCTAGAAATCTGCCTGGACCACTTTCATGCCTGATCCTGCAGAGGCAGAAGTGCGCACAGGATCCCCTGAAACTCGAGTTACAGGTAGGTTTGAGCCAAGCAGGTTAGATATGTTTGAGAAGGTATAGCTAAGAGGGAACTATCCCAGCCCTGGAAGACAAAAAGCAGGGATCAAATAGGTGGAGCTCAGGTGTCGTTGAACTTGCCACCATATACATAGCCTCTCTGGTTTCTATCTCCAGCACCACAAAAAATAAAGCCACCATATAGTAAAGAGCCACTCAAGGAAAGTATGTGGCCTTGGGCAGCATTTCATACACTTGGATCTGAGTTTTCTTTTTCTTTTTTTTTTTTAATTAAAAAAATTGTATTTACTTAGAAGCATTCAGAATATCAACAAAACAGCCGCACTCAGCCGCACTTTTTTTTTTTTTTTTTGCAATTACAGAGTGGTATTCAGTTAACAGAACAACAATTATTTTCTTATAAACTGCATCAGAGACAACTGAAGATGGAAAAAAAAAACCCAAAAATAAACCAAAAGAAAAGAAAAACAAAAACCAAACTACTGTCCTCATATATAACTAATTTGTGCTGTGCACCAAGAGCCTGCTTTACATTTCCATGCCAATTTACAACCCCTAGACTGTACCAGGCAAGGTTAGTGGCTATTGAAAATACCACCAGGACAGGACTATCTAAAGACACATTTGGTAGTGTGTTAACTATACAAAAAAAAAAAAAAAAGACACCATACAGTTTAAAAACAAATCTTACACAGCCTTACATTTCAATTTTTCTCATTAAAAGAAATGAGTTGTGTACAGGGGGGTTAAATGCTTTATAGATAAGAAACTGCACTAGAACCAACTTACTCATCATCATCATCTTCCTCTTCCTCATCCTCTTCATCTTCCTCATCATCTTCCTCTTCCTTCTTTTTCTTGCTCTTTTCAGCCTTGACTACCCCCTTTTTCGCTGCATCAGGTTTTCCTTTAGCTCTGTAGGCAGCAATATCCTTCTCATACTTCTCCTTCAGCTTGGCAGCCTTCTTCTCGTAGGGCTGCTTGTCATCCGCTGCAGTGTTGTTCCACATCTCTCCTAGCTTCTTTGCAACATCACCAATGGGTAAGCCAGGATGCTGGCCTTTGATTTTTGGGCAGTACTCAGAACAGAACAGGAAGAAGGCCGAAGGAGGCCTCTTGGGTGCATTGGGGTCCTTGAACTTCTTTTTGGTCTCCCCTTTGGGGGATGTAGGTTTTCATTTCTCTTCCATAATGAGCCTTGTCAGCTTTTGCCATGTCTTCAATTTTCCCCTTTTCTTTAGCAGACATAGTCTTCCACCTCTCTGAGCACTTCTTGGAGAACTCTGAGAAGTTGACAGAAGCATCTGGGTGCTTCTTCTTGTGCTCCTCCCGGCAGGTTTGCACAAAGAATGCATATGAGGACATTTTGCCTCTCGGCTTCTTAGGATCTCCTTTGCCCATGTTTAGTTGATTTTCCTCTGCGAGGCACAGAGTCGCCCAGTGCTTGTCCAGCTCTCACTTGCCCCAGTGCTGTCTCTATGGAGCTCAATGTACTGCAGTGGCTGTGAGAGGAGGAGTAAGACCGGATCTGAGTTTTTTTATTTGTACCTAAATGAGGGAACAAAACCAGATGAGCTTGTATATACTTCTTTTCTTTGAGGCTGACCATTATAGCATTTGGAGCAAAGTGCCCTAGGTTTTTAGTATTCCAAAATGGCTAAAAACTAGCCAGGTGGGAAAATCAAGAGGACACACTGGGCAAGAGACATGGTTCAGTGGATAAAGTACCTGCTTGTATAAAGGCACAAGGACCTGACTTCAGATCCTTAGCTTATATGAAAGTCAGGTGTAATGGTAAGTGCATTTATAATGCTAGAGTTGGGGGCATGGAGACAGACTGACCCCAAGAACTCACCAGCTAGCAGCTTAGCCCGCTTAACTCCAGGTTTAATGAAAGAACCTGCCTTAAAGAAGAAGTTAGTGTGATAGAGGAGGTCCTTGAGGCTGGCAACTGTGTATGCATGCCTGTATGACTCTGAGCCCCATGTACCCCAGAGGGCGTTGATAGAATCCCCTGGAACCAGAGTTGAAGGTATTTGTATGAGCTACTTGAAGTGGGCAATGGGAATCAAATCTGGTCCTCTCTCTGGCAGACAGGTAGGTGCTCTTAACTGCCTCTTAACTGCCGAGCTGTTTCTCTAGCCTCAACAATTCCACTTCAACTTAAAACCTACCACTCTAGTTTTTTGTTTGTCAAGAAAGATGAGCGAGGGCTGGAGAGATGGCTCAGCAGTTAAGAACACTGACTGCTCTTCCAGAGGTCCTGAGTTCAATTCCCA